AAAAATGTGCGGCTTTCTTGCGAAACATGATCTACTAATTTCTTTAGTCGATGATTTTGTATCGCTGCTACGAAACTTGTTTCCGGAATCGAAATCTTTAGAAGACATGCATCTAGGAAAACAAAAAGCAACAAATATTTTACGTCAAGTCACAGGAGCAACATATAAACAAGAAGTGATTGATATCATGAAGAATAGCTATTTTAATATAATAAAAGATGAAACAACAGATATGTCTGTGAAAAAACAGTTGGTTGTTATTATAACATTTTTAATCGTTTTACAAATAATGTGGAATGCAGATTTTTGATATGATAGATATGATTGATGGAACGGCAAAAGGTATCCTCCAAACAGTAAAAAGAAGTTTTTCAAAACATGAAGTACCTCTTGATCATGTCTTTGGACTTACATCAGATACGACGAACGTAATGATGAGAAACACAGTTCAGTTCAGGCTTTACTAAAAACTGAAATTCCACATCTGGTCGTTATACAGTGCTCATGCCATTTAATACATCTCGCGACATCATATGCCTAAGAATATAGGTATATGTAATTGGATATGCCTATACCTAAGAATTTAGAACATTTGTGCCGTAATATAACTGCATAATTTCATTTAAGCCATAAGCAAACAGAATCACTCAAACAGTTTCAGGATTTTCTGAAAATTGACCAACATAAATTACTTTCTATCTTATAAATTACTTTTCGGCTAATGCCTTAATTAAGTTACTGATGGCATACGGCCCCACCGCATGGATAATAAATAGCTCACAGTCATGACCTAGCTACATTTCAGTAATGCGTTCAATACTGTTGACTTCGATATACTGTTGAGTCAGTTGTATTCCCTTAACATAACTCCATCAGTAATTGACTGGTTGGAAAGTTATCTCTGTGGTCGTCGGCAGTGTATTATTATTAATGTTGATGAAATTCACTCATCTTGGTGGGATATTTCTGCAGGCGTACCGCAGGGTGGCGTGTTGTCACCTTTACTCTTTTCCATTTTAATTAATTCAGTTACTCATAAAATTTCTTCTCTCTACCACATGTATAGGGATGATGTCCAGATTTACACCCAGTCAACTCTTGAGAATTTGCCGAATGCAATCGCTACATTAAAAATGACTTAAATATGATTCATGAGTGGAGTGAAACATATGGCCTAAATGTCAATCCTAAAAAGTCATAGGCTACATTTTTGGTAGTCGGAGCTTTATCTCAAGAATTGACTGGTTCTCCATACCACCTCTTGTATTTGATGGGGTTGTAATCCCTTACTTTGTCAATGCCAAAAATCTTGGTGTTTACCTTCATAGTTCCTTAAATTGAATGAGGTAAGTAAGAAAACCTTTGCCGCTCTTAGTTCACTGCGTCGCTTTCGAATGTTTCTTCCCATTCCTACAAAAATTATGCTCGCACAGTCTCTTCTCCTTTCGATTCTCGACTATACTGACGCAAGCTATGTAGACATAACTAAAGAACAGCTAACTAAGCTTGAGAGACTTCAAAATACTAGTATTCGGTTCATATTTTGATTTCGCTCGCGTCTCAAGTGGTTACCTATCCAGTTTCGCCGGAACATTCATATTCTTTCAAGTTTTTCTATCCTCCTGTATAAAGGAGAAGTTTTTTTTTGCTGGGGACTCTACCTCTTTTGTTGGGTTTTTGGTTATTTAAACGTATGTATATTTTTTTAGTTATGCGAATCCAGAAATTCCGTAACGAAAAAAAACCTCACGCTCCCCACTCCGACGGGCACGGAGGTGTGGCGTTGAAAGCCGTGCATCGTCTAACGTCGTTTCAGTTCGGCAGACTTCGGCACGGTAGGGTGTTTGTGTGCGTGCGACTAGACGTATGCGTGTACACTAGCTGCTAACTCAATGATAAAAATTCCTGAATAACCTACATGTATTGTAAGATATTAAAAATATTTTAAACAATATTAACTTCTAATTTATTCAATAAGAGAAAAAAAAATTGTTTTCTTATCGGTCACCACGCTCAAAAAGTGTAACTTGATTTAATATCAAAGATTTAACTGCATAAATAAAATAAATAAATAATTATAATTGCATAAGTTGATAAAAAATGCTATGCAATATCTTTACCGCGGCAGTCACCGAGTGCCACACGTATTTTTTTAATGTATTAGTTATTTATATGTTATTTTATTGCATGTATTGATATTATATTAGGATATTACTAGATTTAGGGGTATGTTCGCGGGTTGGCGCTACCGGACGGCAGTAACAGAACCACAGTCGGTCTGTCGCATCCGAAGCTGGAAGCTTCAGTAAGCGGATACTAGGGACGAATATCACACGAGGGTAGCCGAAAAGCTTGACACCATCGATGGCAGGAAAGAATGGGTGGAGAGAACATGGCAGAACCTTAGGGATGGAATGGTAAATGCAGCGGAAGAAGTATGTGGAACGACAAAAAGAGGTAGTAGTAAAAGAAGAGATACATGGTGGAATGATGAAGTGAAAGAAGCTGTAAAAAAAGAAGAAAAAAGCATGGTTAGACTATTGGCCTCTAGTAACGATAAGCATATGAGAGAAAAAATGAAAGAAAGATATAAGCTGCAGAAAGTTCATGCGAAAACATTGATTGAGGAAGTACGTGAAAGGTGTAGAACAGAAGCGGACGAGAGGTTGTCGCACAACTTTAAGGAAAACTCCAAACTCTTCTGGATAGAGGTTTCTGAAAGATGGTCCCGGAGTGGTGCGACAGCCTTAAGAATGAACAAAGTGCTTTCGAGAACCAATGACGTCCTCTCAGAAAAATCGGACGTCATGCAGCGATGGAGTGAATTTAATAGAGAAATGTATGCGTGTTATGATCTTAGTGAAGGATCCGGGGGTAACGCCATGACTGGCACGCCAGACACGGACCTCGATGACATGAGGTCATCAGCATGAAAGAGATTGAACGTGCGATTCGAAGTTTGAAATGTGGTAAGGCTACGGGACTAGACAGAGTTACTGCTGAAATGGTCAAGTACGGTGGGCCTCGCGTCTGGGACAGCTTTCGTCTGCTGTGCAACTTGTGCTGGCGGACGGGAGATGTCCCGGATGATTGGCGATCCGCGATCACTGTGCCTTTATACAAAGGTAAAGGTTCACATTTTGACTGCGGGTGCTATCGGGCGATCAGCTTGACCAGTTTAGCAAGTAAAGTTTACTCGAAGGTTTTGACACGTAGGATGCAAGATAAATCGGAAAGATTCTTATGGGAGGCACAATGCGGATTTAGACCTGGAAGAGGATGCACGGATCAAATGTTTTCTCTCCGCATGATCACGGAAAAGCTTCTGAGTGTTAACCAGAGGATTTTCTGTGCTTTTGTGGATCTGGAGAAAGCATTTGATAAGGTTATAAGGAAGTAAATGTGGGAACTGTTGCCGGGATATGGTGTGGATGGTCGATTGCTAAGGGCTGTGTAGTCACTTTACTATGACTGTAAAGCCTGTGTGCATGTAGGGCATGACCTGTCACCCATGTTTAGCGTCCAAGCGGGCGTAAAACGGGGTTGTGTCATGTCTTCCTGGCTGTTCATACTGTATCTCGACAGCTGTTTACAGAAGCTAATAAATAGCTGTTTGGGTGTGAAATTGGGTGATATAAAAGTAAATTGTCTGCTGTATGCTGATGATGCAGTGCTTATTGCACCATCAGAAGCAGAACTGCAGGCATTAGTCACGTGTATGAAAGAGGAATGTGATATTAAAGGTCTCCGTTTGAATGCTAATAAAACTAAGGTTCTGGTATTTGACAAGGACCAAGAGAGAACGAAATGTGAAATATGGGTAAATCAGGAACGTCTAGAACAGGTAAATGAAATTGTATACTCGGGGAGTGCTTTCAGCCGGGATGGAAGATGTGATTTAGATGTGGATATGCGCGTCGCTGCCGGAAACAAAGTCAATGGTGCCCTGAATGCATTAGTCAAAAGGCAAGGCGTGGTGAAGAGTGCACGCCTTGCAATACATAACGCAGTGTTGGTACCGACTTTGTTATATGGAAGCGAAACCTGGGTATGCCAGAAGAAGCATAAAAGCAAGTTGAATGCAGTGGAGATGCGATCTCTTCGTAAAATGTGTGGCGTTACCATAGCCGATCGAAAGCGAAACGAAGAGATTCGCAATATGGCAGGATTGAAAGATGACCTTATCACAAAAATTGATAGGGGCGTACTCCAATGGTTTGGGCACGTTGAGCGAATGAGTGAAGACCGAATGGTGAAGAAAATATATAGAGCGAAAGTAAATATTATAAGGTGTCGAGGTAGACCGAGACTAACTTTCGAAGACCATGTGAGCAAATTGCTCGAAGAGGGGTCAAGAGTACTCGGATACCTAGACGTGCATGTATGAAGAAGTTAATGAACCTGAAAGAAGCGAAAGAGGTATGTAAGGATCGTAACACTTGGCGATCTGTTCTCTCTGGCTACCCCGTTAGGGATTGTGCGTGAAGATAAACGGAATATTAGGTACATTTATATTGCACCACCTACCTAGTATTCACTGTTTTATTCCTTTACACCTTTGATTGCCTGGAAGAGATCGCTATGTCTCGATAAGGCCGCCAAAGTGTACATGTAATCTGCTCTTTGTTGTTCTTTGTAAATTTGTTTGTGGTGTACAATAAAGTATATTCATTCATTCATACTCTCTGCAGCAAATACAAGATGGTTGTTACTTCAAGCTTGTGTCGACAGGATGCAGTATGATGCATTGAAATTATTTTTTACGGGGGCAGCTTTTGAGGATCACTCTAATACTTTTTCTTAACGATTGTAATACCTTTTCTTAAACAAAATTAGCACAATTATTTATACTGCTTTAAGGGCCGGCAACGCACCTGCAATTCCCTTTGTGTTGCGGTTAATCATGGGCGGCGGTAGTCACTTAACATCAGGTGAGCTGCATGCTCGTTTGCCCCCTCTTCTATATATATAAAAAAATACTACCGGAGATGGTTCAGAAAATGTTGAACACTTTTTTGTGCAACTTTGTCAAAAAGGAGCACCCAAGTCTGAGCTCGGATCTAAAGAGCCTTAAGCAAACTGACGTCACTAAAACAGAAATTCATCTCAATAATGATCAATACGTTGGTATGGAAGCACATGCGATACTTGAAGATTCAAAGACAAAAGCCCCAATAGAAGAAGTGAACAAATTTTATGCTAGTTGTCGTGAGTTTTATGTCGAAATAGTATTGCAAATTCAAAAGCGGTTAAACTTGAATGAGAAACTTTTTGAACTATTGAAGTATGTGGATCCAAAAATAGCAAGAAATGTGAAGAAACAATCACTGAAAGATGAGTTTGATAAATTTAACTTTTTAACGACAAAATGCAACATGCAAAAGACAGATAACGAAGGGAGAAATCAAGCTCTTATAGACTTAAAGCATTTTGGAGTTAAAAGCGAAGAAGAATTAAAAACATGCCAGCTGACATTTATTCGAATAAGATTCTAAGCGTGAAAGATTATCATAGTAATTTCATTTACGAAACTCTTGAAGTAGTTATTTAAGTTTTACTAGCAGTTCCATCTTTAAATATTGAAGTAGAAAGATTATTTAGTATTCTAAAAAATGTAAAAACAGATAAAAGAAATGGAATTTCTGACTAAATTCTGAACGGCTTGTTTCATACAAAGTTCGGTATGTAAGCAAACAATTGCTCAATTTAGAACCCAACAGTGCCATGATAAGTGCAGCAAAACATTACAAAAGTAATGATTCAGCTTCCAAATCTTCTGTCTGATCTCGTTTTTGGTGATTGATCTTTTGTTGATTTATTAATAAATATTCAACATAATAAATTATTGTTTAATTTCCCGAATAAAAATATGCTCCTTAAAAATAAGAATTTTTAAGATCGTTTAGGGAATTTTAGAGATAAATCATAAAAAATAAAAGGACAATGACTCGCATTCGTAGACAGAGAAACCTATAGACAAAGTGAGGTCTTCTTTCGCATTCGCACACGCCAATATCATATATATGTGTATATCACGCTTAGGGCCGTGCCAATATTTCTCGGGAACACGTCTCCGAGTACCAGGACAAACTTGTGTCTGAAATCGAGTCTTTGCTGAACAAAGTCTCAGGTTGGAGGCGACTAAATCTAGTCCAGTTTAACCCTCAGAAGACACAAGTTTGCCCGTTAAGCGCTAAAAAGAACCCCTTTGTCGTATCTCCTCTCTTGCCTCTCTGTTTCAAGGCACTCCCCTTGTTGCCTCAGCCAGTATCGAAATCCTCGGCGTCGACATGTCGAGTGACGTGCAGTTTCGTAGTCACTTGGAAGAGAAGGCCAAATTGGCCTCAAAATTGCCGGCACACCACCTGCAACTTTACAAGGCGCAGGTTTGGCCGCACATAGAATCCTGTTCCCATCTTTGGGCTGGGGCTCCCCAGTGCCAGCTCCTTCCACTTGACCACATCCAGCGCAGAGCGGCTCGAATCGTCGACGACCGAGTGCATTCCGATCGGCTCGATTCACTGGCACTACGAAGAGATGTTGCATCTCTTTGCATTTTCTTTTGCATATACCACGGGGAGTGCTCTGAGGAATTGTTCGGATTAATACCAGCCGCCAAATTTCGTGAACGCACTACGCGGCAAACGTCCCGATACCATCCACACCATTTGGATGCTTGGCGGTCCACCACTGTACGTTTCTTTCTTTCTTTCTTTATTTCTTTTAATAAGGCTTACAGACTAATATCTTCGTAAAGTTACAAAATGGTGATAAAAATTGCTAATTACAAGCCTCCACATATTAAAGTTTCACAAAGAGTTTTCTTCCGCGTACGACCTCTATATGGAATAGTTTACAACCGGCGATTTTTCCGGACCGATACGGCCTAGAGACCTTCAAGAAAAGAGCTTACTCCATTCTAAAAGGCCGGCAACGCAGCTGCAATACCCCTGGTGTTGCGCATTCATTTATAGAAAAAGGGTGACGAATGAGCACACAGTCCGCCTGATGGTAAGTTGCTGCTGAAGCCCATAGACATCTACATTTAACCTCGATTAAGAATCAAAATGCAGATGGGTTGTCACCCTTGAAGACTAAGGTGGAATGCCTCGATTCCAGTAAAACGGGTCTCCGGTTCTCTACACTCACCATACACCAGCATTAAGCTGCTATTTTACGCTGGTATTCTGTGACAGCGTGGTCCTGCCCCGGTTGAGCCGACCCACTCATGCTACAACCATAATATAGAAGCAGGGTAGCTCTACCACGCATATATAGATAGGCTTTGTTGATGAGACTTTGTTGTAAAAGCGTTTTTTGCTCCATAAAGACTAAATGACTCTTTAGAGTCGAGTAGCTGGTATTGTTAGCTTGTGTTTATTCCTAGTATTTACACAAAGTTCATTACTATTTTAAGTTTGCTTACATACATTTAATTTTCGTAAATACACTGCCTTCGTAATGTTAAGCAAAATCTCATTAAACAAAGTAATCACTTAATAGTAACAATACAATCGTATAGATATTTTACTTAAAAGCTCTGTGAATGTCTATTAAACAGCCTGAAATCCCCCGGAGCGCAGACAGTTGTCATATAATATAGAGTGGTTATTACATTTTACTGTTATTAGGGATCGTAAAAATTTATGAAAATTTTATTATACCTCCTAAAATTGGTCTGAAGCCATAAAAATTATATGCATATGGCGCATTTCAGCTTATAAAAACCTTGCGTTGTATTAAATTATTAAAAGTAAATAGATTGTTTTCTATGTTCAGATAATATGTATTGTATATAAATATCCCTTTTCTATACAAATAAATAAAATTGAAATAGCCGTTTTTAATGTCAAATTAAGAGCTTTTGGCTAATATAAATATAATAAAAATAATATACATGATGATAATATAAATATATATAAATATAGTATACATGACAGTATATTACGTTACTTATTAAAAACATATTTTTAAAATTTTATTCTCTCTGTCCGTCTGTTTGTTCTTACTTCCGACTAATCTCCGAAATGGCTTTACCAGTTTTGAGGGGAGTTTCAATACCAGATAGCTGATGTTATAAGCAGTAACTAAGGTTACTTTTATTTTAGAAAAAGAATTAGAGTTCAGCACAAAGAAATTAAAAATCATGGTATCCAACCATAATAAAATCCACGATGACGAAGTCTCGGGGAACAGCTAGTATTTATAAAAATAAGACGTTCTTTGGCTTGTATCTCCAATTATTGTAATGTTTTGTGTTTACCTTTAATAAAGTATACAAAGGACAATCTAAATATTAGTGTAGAAAAAAAAATATTATTAAAAATATTATTCTTAAAAGCCGACTTCAAAGAACTAAAAATAACATGATTATAATTTCTGAAGTCGGTACTAAGACAGTCTATGAACAAAAGTCCCTGTTTCAGAATTTAAAATTATTTTTGTTTAATTTAAAGTGACTACGACAACACAAGACTTAACGACATCTTAAAATTGAGGAGTGTTTCAGTATTTGGCCAATAGCCAGCTTTGGCTTTTTATTAAAATTTTATTTTAGTCTTTTTAGGCGGACTACGGAATATCAAAATCTAAATATCGCCCTCAGATGAAGTAAAAAAAGGTAGATACAGCGCGGCGTTTGTTATTGGTGAAGCCAAAAAATTCCGCTTCTTTATGTAAGTACACGCGTTCACGCACACACATGCATCAAACTACGCTCATTTTCGCTTAGTACATCCCGGGGCGTCGTGCAGTAAATTTGCCTACAAAATGCCGTCTTGTGTAGTTAAATGGTGCAAAAATAATACTAAAGTGAACAAAAAAGTGAATCGATATTGTTTCACTCGTAAACACTCATATAACTATATTTTAATTTGTTATTTCAACACACTTTTGATGGTTATTCGAAGCACGAATGTCAATGTTTCGAGATTACGCAACGGGAGAATGTTGCCATTATTTCTTATTTCTAATGGTCCAAGATTTTCTTATTTCTAATGGTCCAAGATTTGGGTAATTAATTTTAGGCTAAGCTTTATAAAAATATATGTAGTCAGCCTATTTTTTTAATTTGTTGTAATTATGTTACATCAAATTGAATTCAAGGTAAATATTTAATTTTTTAAGTCGCTGGTGTTTCTGTTTTAATTGTTGAGTACTTACAAACTATTTTACTATCAAAAAATATTTATGATTTTAGTCTACCAACGAATATTTTATTAAAACATGATTTTTTACGTGGTAGAGCCGTGCAGTTATAATATTAGTAGTATGGTTATAACACGAATAGGTTGGCTCGACCGGGGAAGGACCACGCTCTCACAGAAAACCAGCGTAAAATAGTAGTTTAATGCTGCTGTTTCGTATGGTGAGTGTAGAGAACCGGAGACCCTCTTTACCGGAAACGGGGCATTCCATATTAGTCCTCACGGGTGACAACGCATATGCATTTTGATTCGTAATCAAGGATATATTATGTAGATGTCTATGGGCTACAGCAACCACTTACCATCAGGTAGACTGTATGCTCGTTTATCACCCTATCCTATAAAAAAATGAAGGGTAGCTGCTATAAGACTGAGCTGAAATGAACCAAAATGGCAGCCATCCTCTTGACTTGACAGTGATAGAGCCACGCAGCGGCTATTTATGTCGCATGGATAGGCCAGCTTGAACCGAGGTGGTACCACGACCTCACAGAATACCGTGAAGTAGAGGTTTACCACTGCGTTTCACTTGGGCTGGAAGCCCGATTCCCTCTCCCGCTTATCATCGTAGCGGAATCAAATAAAAACACCCCAAAAGGGTACCCTCACTCCTGGTGACGGAGAATCCCTCGCTGAGCATCCACGACCAAGCTACTTTACTCTTCCTGACCGTGGATGCTTAGGCTGCTCCGCGTATTCTGGGGGGGGGGGGGGGGGAAGGAATTCTGCTCGCGACTAAAACTGTTAGGGGCAAGCGGAGCAATAAGAATGAGCGACTCCTGTCACGCTATCAGTGAATTTTTGCAACATCAGGACACTTCATTTTAATCTTAATGCTATCCACTACCAACCGGAGACGGCGGAGCCAGCCTGGCTCTTTTTAACCGAGACTCAGGTGTCCTCTCCGGCTGATACTTCATATCTCTCCTACCCGGGGTACAAATTAGAACACTCCTTTGTGCCCCCGGCTGAAGTATGTTCTATTTTGCATTTACTAAAATATACCTTTTTTTCATTTAGAAAAGTATATTTTTTATTTCCATGGAAATTTACTTTTTATTCCAACTAGTTCTTTTTAGTATTAAGTTATTTTTTATAATAAACATGTTTTACATTACATATATTGTATATTTTATCGATGTTTACATGCTCACTGGACAATCTATCAAGAAGACTTTTAAGTGATCTACAGACACCTCCTATGTGCTTCATCTTTTTTTGAATCGTCAAATTGTTGAAATTTATTAAAACAGACGGATATACTTTCGCTTTCGCATCGCATATTACTC